TTTTTTTTTTTTTTTTTTTTTTTTTTTTTTTTTTTTTTTTTTTAAAATTTTAACTTTTTTTTTTAATTCAAGAAAAAATGGTACCAAATTTAAACAATGTTTTTTTACAGTTTTTTAAAATTTTTTTTTGCAAGATTCAAATGAAAAATATAGTCCGTCCCTGTGAAAGTTTCGTAATTTATTAAGTAGTAGAGTACCATTCGATGATGGTCATCTACTCTGAATCTTCACTACTTCTATATTCGCATTCAAGAGGTGAGTGACGGGCCGGCGAGAGCCACCCACCAGCGAGACCCGTATGTTGCTTAGTATGGGATTCATGAGAGCGGTCGAAGATAACGAATTGCTTAACGTTTAATCAAAATCTGTAAATACCATTATTATCTGAAGAGAAATAATATATATAGATTTTTTTTATTATCATTAACGAAATTAACTTTTCGTTTGAACAAAAAAAAAAATATAAACTTGCCTTTGAATTTTTTAAATCACTTTAATTGTAAGTTTGAAGAAAAAAAGAATCAGGACAAAGTGACTTTTTTCAATAAATGTGTTTCTTCCTGACTATATGAAGGCCCAACTACTTCACATTGCCAAAAACACGAAATAGGCTGGACAAGGATGAAGAATTTATTCTTGAGAGGATCGTGGATAAGCTTTTGCTTCAGCTAACAATAGGAAAGCAAACCTGTACGATAATAAGTGAAACATGAACTCATATGGTTGAAAAAATAATATTTTGACCTAGACCAATGCTATGAAAAAGTACAGAATTCTATGACACAATTGTATATATATATATAACTATATCGAATGAAGTGAATATAGTATACTTAAGGACACACATATAGTATATATTAACCAGTGGTGAGCAGATATAACGGATTACAGTAGCACCAATATAAGATGAAATCATGAAGGATACCTAGCCGAGGGAGAACGGATACTCAGACGGAGACGGAGTACACATTACTATTTTTGAACGTAATATGCAGACCGGAGAACACCAACGGCTAGCTAACGGTGATTAACCCTTGCCGTTAAGCTGCTGCTGGGCGGAGCCGAGTCCGCATCAGGCAGTCCATCTTCCGCACCTACCGCGTGGAGAAGACGTACGCGGTGGAGTCGCGGCACCGCTCGTGAGTACGCGCATCAGAGCTGCCAACCCAAAGATCTGCTTCTTGACCATTGCTCAGCCGCCGATTTTCAGACGTTAGATACCGGCGCAGCTTCTCCAGGGCACAATAGCTAAACACTGAAATTTTTTCTACACTGCCATTCGGCATAAGAATAAGTACAGTTTCGTATTCCGAACTGATTGCACAAAACAGTTTTTTAACATGCATAACACGCAATAAATAATATATTTTTAATCATGCATTTAAAATTTTTTTATAGTTTATCTTTGAAATTTTAATTAAATTAAACATTGACTTCAAATGTTTACAATGGCTTGTTCGTGTCGTCCAAGACTCTTTCTTTCCAAAGAAATGATGTATGAATTCCGTATTTGTCTTAACATTTCAGTAAAGAGCAATTTGTAGACTTTTTCCATAAAGAACTTTAACAATTATCATATATATATATATATGAGTAATATAATATAGTATCATATATATATATAATATATATATATATATATATATTGTGAGGTAACTTAAAGTAAAGAAACAAAATGAAACGCGGTATCGCTGTTGCTTATCGCACGCTAATGGAAGGGTGAAGCGCTGGTCGAGCCGCACGCGAGTTGGTTTTTGTGCCGCACGGGTACTTTGAGGTTGCGAGATCATGGAACGGCGGGAGGCCCCCCAAGTGCCAGTGGCTTGGGCGCGCGCACCGATTACCGGGCCGGGCTCGCAGCTGGCAGCGAACGACAGCTCCTGGGCCTTCGATGGCTAAACGCCACTCGCGGCGCCGCCCCCCCCGCCCGACCCCGCCCTCGGCCCCGCCCCGCCACGAACCCGACGCGAGACGCCACATAACTCAGACTGGTGAAGTGCAACTGCACAGGAAAATTAATTCTTCGGCACGCTTGTCAAGAACCTCGTGCCTCGGAGGGAAAGGCCCTTGATAAGAACCTCGGAGGTAAAGTCATATTTACCTCGTACGGGACAGCTGCTCCTGTTTCTCCTAGTCCAATCACTTTCGTATGAACATGACACCTTTCAGCTATAACGTTTCAAAAGTGTACGTAAATGGATAAAATTGTTCCATAATTTTCCAACCTACCTGTCTCTTCTAACGACGACCCGCGGAGATGAGTTATTTTTCTGTGAACACATCTATGGAACACTGCTGTCAACGCTGCTGAGATATATTTTG